CGAATAAATTAATTTATAAAGTATAATGCCAAATTTGATGGATTACAGGACCTAGCCAATTAAGTTATGAAATAAGCTCTAATTTGTGTACAGTGAAACCCAATCCAGAAATTGACAGAGTAATTTTGAATTTGTAGATCGCAAAACCCAATCAATTAATTTATGGAGTAATTCCGAATTTGCATATATTATAGAACAAAATCCACTGCCATTCTACGGCACACAAATGAAAAATTACCATACATATAATTGTGCCGGTATAATATAATAAATAATAATAATATAATATAATTTGTGTGCCGTAGAATCGAATAAATTAATTTATACAGTAATCCCAGTAATTTGTGCATCGCCCAATTATTTGCCAATTCTAAATTGTCACAATATGTTGCTTCCAAGATAGCTGAACGCCCAGTTAAAATTGTGTACAGTAAACAGCCGAATGAAAAATATAAGAAACAAATACTCATCGATGTTACCACGACCGCATGGTGTCGTAGGGTCGAATGTAAAAAAAAATACCGTACGCGTAAAATCTTGTTCGTAAAAATAAATGCGCACGAAGAGATTGAAACATTCGAGGAATGCATGATTCATGGAAGTATAGTTGATACGAGTGATATTCGGCAAGAGGGGCCGGCACCGTGACTAAAATTTCCCGCAAATTGGGACTAATTTCGGGATAATCGATGACGCTGCAGAAAATCGGGGAGAAGAACGGAAAGGAGGGCGGTTCTATGCACGGGCGGAGCATAAGCTCAAGCGTCTCGTTGGCCGACAGGTGGACCAATCGGTTCGTGGGGGCTTTTTCATAGCGATCGCAGCACAGTAAAGTACACCGAAATTGTGAAATTGATTAGCGATGCACGAGAGTAATCGGTTCCGAAGATGTTGCATTCTCGCCGAGCGAATGCGTTCTATAATAAAATCGAGTGGTCTGTGCAGCGGATTTGTTTAAACTGCAACATAGAATGCAGTGTTCTAACTTGTAAATTTGATGGGCAAGGAGGATATTACAATACTCTTCACAGCTGCGGAATAGCCGAGAATTGAGCAGTAAATCTAAAAAGCCGGGTATTCATCTGGTTGCTTTCACAGGTTTATTATAACGCCATTTAAATGTTTTCTTCGGTCTGATTCAACGCTGTCGAAGATATTTTCATCCCAGAATTTCATTGAACCCAAAAATTTCGAGTGCTTTGCAGATGAGAAAAAAGTAAGATCAACCGCATCCTCTTATGCCAAGCTTGAAATATTAATTAATAATAAAAGGACAATGCACCGACTGTCATTATTGGTATGTTTATTTCAAATTGAAAGAAACAATGTTTAGATGGAACAGATAAATTTATTGTTTGGAAACTTCGATGCTGAAGCAACGCTGATACTTCTTATCAATCAATTTAAAAGGCAGTTTTCAATGATGTACTTATGGTAAATAAAATGAATATTCCAACGCTGTAATTCCAACTTCATTTTCATTCGTTTGTGCGATTAATCATGCCAAACTCGACGCATAAACCATGAGAAAACAGATTGCAATTGCAGTATCTAGAAATTCGAAATAATCAAGACCATCTGACTGCAGAGCCCACGCTACTAAATAATATAAAATCAACAAGAACAAATAAAATTCTTGGGGCAAAGTGAACTCCAAATTGCTTCAAAGTTCAATTCTGCCTTCTTCGGTGAAATGATTCTAACATTTCTGATCATGCAAACAAAAAAATGAAGTTACAGTTCGATAAAATCATTTTTAAACCAAATGAAAACAAAGCAATGGGAGTTTCACATTTGAAACTCTATAAAGCATACAAAATATGCTAGCTTTGCTTGGAAGCTAAAGAGCACGCGACGTTCGAGATATCTTTAAATATCTTGAAAAGCCTCAAGTTAGTGGCAGCTAAGACATTTTAAATAAGAACACAGCAGAATCATCCTTAACGACAAAGCTCGTTACAGAACAACGGGAAATCAAGACTAATAACGGAAGCTGAAGACACGCCGCCGTAATAAACCAATTCCATCGTCTCGTACATCTCAATCAATTCGGAGCACTCCCAACAATTCGGCGATCACCGTTCGAAAAACAATCCCGAAGATTCCGTAACAATGGGAACGAGAGGAGTTATGCAATCTTTATCATCATCGTTCATCTCGCGTTCTCATTCCGCCGCTGAGCCGGGCGTGACGGTGCCACTGGGGTGGGGTGGGGGGCGGGGGACGACTGCCATTGGCGTTGCCGTAGAATCGGATACTGGTTCACGGCGCGCCGTCCAATCGGGTAACTCGTTACAGCCTACCGGCGTCAAGCCCCGCCCACCTTGTACGAGGCTGCGTGGTGACGGCGGGACGCGCGTCATCGCGACGCGCCAAGCTTCCACCGGTCTCGGAACGGATCCGTGGGTCCAGTCATCCGAAAACACTTAGCGGCGCATCACAGCGCGCCGTCCAGGGCCGAGTGGCAAGTCTAAATAATTGACCCCACCGTGCGGCCCCGTGCAAACAATTTACGCCCGGGCACGCGTAAATAACGACCACCCCCGTCACATTGTAATCGCAGCGGAAACGCGTGGCCGGCACCACGAGTACTCGGTAAACACACGCGCGGCCGGTGCGCGCGATCGTCTCTTCGTTTCGGAGTGGATATCAGTGAGAAGGAGGCCCTCGCAAACCCGGTGTGAACCCGATTTGCATAGAAGTTTCCGCTATACGGTATCGCTGGGAAAATTGGTGAAGTGGATACGCATTTTGCCCCGAAGGATCCGCGATCCTAGAATGTTCGTGGAGGCGTGACCAGGAGAGAAGACTCCATATGGACCAGACCGTGATCGTCCCGTCGACACCGCGCGGCGCACCGGAGAACGCGAGGATCATCATGAAGAACGAGTCGGACGCGGCGTTGCACCTGCAGGAGCAGTCCGCGGTGGCCCATTCGACCTCGTCCTCGGTGGTACCGAGGAGCAGCTTGTCGATCGGTGGCGGTCTGAGCCAGGACCAGAGCCTGGTGGACTCTCTGATCTGCAATCCGTCGAGCACGGAGCTGCCGAGGAAGCCGGGCGCGCGTCGCCAGGAGAAGCCGCCTTATTCCTACATCGCGCTGATCGTGATGGCGATCCAGTCGAGTCCTGGCAAGAGGCTGACCCTGTCGGAGATCTACTCGTTCCTTCAGCAACGGTTTCCCTTCTTCCGCGGCGCTTACCAGGGCTGGAAGAACTCGGTGCGCCACAATCTCAGCCTGAACGAATGCTTCATCAAGCTGCCGAAGGGCCTGGGCAGACCCGGCAAAGGACACTATTGGACGATCGACCCGTCGACGGAGTACATGTTCGAGGAAGGCGGATTCCGGAGGCGGCCGCGAGGCTTCCGTCGCAAGTGCCAGGCCTTGAAGCCTCAGTACCCGCAGTACTTCTCCGGGAGCGGTCCCGTCAGCGTCCAGGCACCTGGCTACGAGAACCTGGCGTCTGCCGGCATGGACTACGCGAACGGCTACCAGAACCAGTACCAGAACTATCAGGAGTACGCGATGTACGCTCCGGGCGCCGCGGTCTCCGCGGACTGGGCCTACCCGGAGGCCACCTACAAAACGCCGCCCATCGCTGAGGTGACCTACAAGACCACCGAGGTCACCTACAAGACCGGCGAACCGTCGGTTTACAGGAACGGGGAGCTCGTCGCCTTCAAGAGCGAGCCCGGTTACCCTAGGAGCCAGGACCAGCTGGCGTACAGGGCCGCCGAAGGATTCTCGGTGAAGGATCACCAGCAGCATCACTCGGAGTCGGTTTACAAGGACAACGAGGCCATGATGGCCTACAAGTGCCAGTCGAATCCCGTGACCACGTCTCAGACACCTGGACAGGACTATTACGTAGGTTACGGGCTCGGGGTCAATAATGTTGGCGGAAACGTGAACGCTGCTGCCATTCAGGGGATCCCGGAAACCGGGAACAGCAGCCCCGCGGGCAATGTCAGCTCATCGCATAGCGGTTGTCAAACACCTGTGACGGACAATGGTGAGTACCAGTCTCTTTCGATTGTGTCTCGATGTCGCGATGCAATCAACGGTTGCAGATCGGTGACGTTGCCGCCGTGGTTCGAGCAGTTTATTTACAATTTATTTACAATTAATTTACAACAACGCTGTTTGTTCGTTTACTGGGTTTTGCTTCGTTGTAATCGTGTAATCTCCTCGGGACGGAGTGGTTGGTTCGTTCGAATTGGTCGTTGGACTGTGGAGCTTCGTGTAAAATACGAATTGTCTTGCAAGGGATGCTTCCTAACCGGAAAATTCAACAATAAATTCTGGAGTTTTCGGAATATATAGAGCAGGGGTGTCAAACTCGCGGCGCGAGATGAACATTTTAGCGATTTCTCCCGAAATAGGAAAGATAGTATCAGAGAAGAGATGTCAAGTATCAGGACGTAAACAATAATTTAACTTTATATATGTGTTTATTACGATGTACCAGTCAAAATAAAAATATTTGTTTCTATGAACATTGTTTTTTGTTTTGCGGCCCACCTAAAGTTAAGCATTGTTTATTTGGCCCAAGTTAGCTTTTGAGTTTGACACCCCTGATATAGAGCGTAAATTGTTTTTTAGCGTAAATTCCCTTTAACCCTTTGCACTCGAGTGGCGACTCTGAGGCACCACTAAAATTTGTTATATCACCTTTTAAGATGATTTTGTTATTAACAAAGTTTAGATATAATAAATTGTTAAGAGTGTAACTGCTGCGCGAGTCCCAAGAATCAATTTCGTATGCATAAAATGCATTTTGTCGTATAAAATAGAAATACTATAAGTTAGAAGAATGATCTTATATTTACAGTTAAAATAGCTTCGAGTGCAAAGGGTGGAAATTAACCTCCGAATATGTATTCGGCTGCTTTTTATTCCATTGGTGTAACGTATAAACTGTTCTAAACACAGGTTACTTCTTTTGTCTAAATCTATCATGTGGTATGCGAGAAATGTCGATTATTTGTTTATAACTTTCTCCAATTGTTTATTCACAAATCGTATACCACATGTCGAATTTGGACGAAAGAAGTAACTTTCGTTTGGAGACGTTTTTTTTCTATCTTGTACAGTTTGCGAATTATAGCAATGAAATAAAAAATACCCAAATATTTGAAGGTTAAATTTCACCGCTTAACCCCTTAACTTGTACGCTCGAGTTAATTCGAGCGCGCTAAACAGGCCAAACTGTGCACACTCGAGATAATTCGTGCGGCGTGGTATTTTATGCTGCTATAATTTTTCACACTCGAATATAATCGAAAATTGAAAATAACACAATGTGAGAGCAAAGAAAAAAAATCGTTTTATTGATATTTATCATTTACATGGGATTGTAAGCTGTAACACTTATTTATTCAAGAATAATATACAGCCTTTTTCCATGGAGCAAAAGCGCAGTATATCAAAATTCTCCACCAAAAATTGACTTTTTTTGGCCGGTTATTTTCAAAAAAACTGTGCGTTAAGGGGTTAAAGTGAATTTAGACAAGAAAGAAAATTTATGTAATACATATATCTACATATCCTCAAAGTTTTAGATCTTTTTGAATTTCTGGATTGGCGAGATCATCCCTTGTAAGTTGATTATAAGAAACTTAACACGTTCGCAGACAGTAAAAATTTTAATGAGCTGCAAAAATTGACAGGTGATTTATACAAAATTTTGTATATTGTTGGAACAAAAGATGCGCAACGCTGTCCACATCGTACCAGTCCCGTTTCGCGTTGTTTTGGTACGGTGTGACTTGCATGGAACGGGAGCGGCACGCATAGTGTGAGCACTCCGATACAAATCAATGAAAGAATATTTTGTTTATGGTCGAAGCAAGCCCGGACCGGGATTCCACGCTAATGTATACATATTTTTCGGTATTGGACCAGCATGGTATGGAATAGGAGCGACACGCAAAATGTGAACACTCTAATACAAATCAAATGGAAGAATACCTGCGCGTGCAAGACCGGACCGTGCCTTGCCTGCAAGTGTGTTTTGGCCCTTGGATGAACAAGAGAGGGTCTGCTATGTTGTTAATGCTGTAGATCTTGCCCCAAAAATACTTATCAGGATTATCGAATTGATCGTGTTTCTTATCTTTAACATCTATCAGTGAGACGTGAGTTCCTTGAAGCGAAAAAGTCGAAGGTTTAGGTAGCACATTAGAAAAAAAAAGTGCGATCGAATAAATTAGTTGACTCGGGAACTTAAAATTAAACGATTGAAATCTAGTCGAAAATTAATGGAAATGTATTTTATAATTTTGCTGAAATAATAAATAATCTTGCGGCTTATGAACGCTAGCTTTTTATGGATCGATCGGTGCGAGAATTATTTAGGGCACGAGAGAAGGATTAAACTCCGAGCCGGAGATCTTATTAGCGATGCCAGACTTCCGAAGAGTTCGCAGACGTTGTTCTGTCGACGCGCGATTCACGAGTCCATTCTCGAGATGCCGAAGGCAACAATGACAATTCATGACGGTCGAGGGCCATCTGGAAAACCGGAGACGGTTTACGAGCACCGAGGCGCCGGATACCGAAACTGTCGGCCGTTCGTTCACAGAGTGTCTCGACGCGTTTTACGTTCACGCGACCGTTTCGAAATTTTTCAAACTTCAGCTCTTATTCTCCCATCTCTAATTGGTGCATTTCTTCTTCGTTAGTCGACGTAGACATCCACGGTTCCATCGACGCTCAATCTCACCGAACGTGTTTCTCGAGAAGACTGAAATCGACACGGTTTTATTTGACCGAACTTTTTCCTCGAGCAAACCAATATCGACACCGTTTTATTTCTGATTTCATCGCACTTGTTTTTTGAATAGAGACAATATCGACACCGTTCAATTTTTTGCTCTACCGAACTTGCCCATTCGGTACGTTACAGGTTTGTTAATTCGTTCTTAATCGTGTTTCACGAAGGTAAATATGGTAGTAGTAACCCTTCTGCCATATCGAGAAAGTACTCGTCGCGCGACAGACACGAAATCACTATGGTCGACAGCACCTATTAGTCGGGGTGACATTCCTGTCGCACCCCACGCGAGAAGTCGTAATTCGTAACTGGTAACCGAACACGTGTAACTCGGCGCGACACGAAACGCCAAGGCGTTCCCCGTAAGATTAATTTAGCGTGGCGACCCCCGTTTCCACGGGGCGACGATTAAACGCTCGTTAACTGTCTCCTTTCGAACATTGTAGCACCACATCATTCCCTTGATCATTTCTCTAAATCCGACAACAAGCTCGATCCTTTCTTCTATGTGTTCCACCGCGCTTTTTTTTGCATCTGTTCATAGTTGTATTTCTGTAACAATGTATAACATTTTTTAACATAGTAAAGCACCGACTTTGCTGGAAGTAATTTGATATTTTAAGAAAGTGTATCTGGTACATAATTTCAAAGTTTGATTTCTTTGAATCTTGAATCGTGACTGTAAAATATTCTTTGATCTAGTGAAATTCTGATTTTGTTGAAATTAAATTTATATTTTAAGAAAGTCCATTCGGTAAATAATTTCACACGAAGCGTATCTTCTTCGAATCTTATATCACGACTGTGCAATATTCTTGAACCTGGTCAAATTCTGATTTTGTTGAAATTAAATGTACAGTTTTTAAGAATATTATAATATATTTGATAGAAAATTTCATGATGTACAAATTCCTCTGAATCTTGAATCATGACTGTAAAACAAACATTCTTTAATCCAGTCGAATCCAGATTTTGTTGAAAGTGATTTTATCTTATAAAAAAGTATATTTGTTACAAAATTTCAAAGTGTACATTCTTTGAATCTTGACAAGCGTGTGTATAAAAATGAGAAGCACAAACGTTTGCGGACTATTAACCCTTTGCACTCGAAGCTACTTTAACTGTAAATATAAAATCATTTTTCTCACTTATAGTATCTTTTATTTTATACGATAAAATGCATTTTATGCATATGAAATTGATTTTTGCGACTCGCACAACAGTTGCATTCTTCACAATCTTTTAAATCTAAACTTTGTTAATATGAAAATTATCTTAAAACGCGATATATATATCCCATCGAAGATGGCTTGCTTTCGATTACTATTAACCCTTTGCACTCGAGCGGCGATTCAGAGGTACCGCTAACATTTGTTATATATATATATATATATATATGTTAGGGTTAATAGTAATAATTAATATATTATAGGGTTAATAGTAATCGAAAGCACACGTGGAATACTAATTATCGTACACGAAAAAAAAAACAGGAACAATTGGTCCCATCGATCTTCGATTAGCAGACCGGTAAATGAAGGATCCGGAGCGAAAGCATCAACATCCACAGATCATAACGTGGCGTCATTTATGAATGAACCGGCTCCGTGAATGCAACAACGTAGTACGATCGCCGGGGGCGATAAACAAATGATCGGGAGGAACGAAAATACACGTTTTTTTTTGTATCGGTTACCGGTAGTCGCGTGCTAGTAAGCGAGGTCTCGAATCGCTTATCGCATAAACATTTACAAGTGGCGTAAACAAGTTGGTTCTTTAATCTAAGTACATCGACCGTGCCACCTCAAACATTAGCCGGTTCGTTTATTAAATCTCTCCGCGGATCCAGCCTCGAACCATGGATCTGAGGATCCGGAGAATCTTCGCGGTAACGTAGATCACCCTCCACAAATGGTTTATCAGAGCAAATAGAAATTTGTGAAATGTAGATTTTCAAGCCATTGCGGTCTACTTGGATAAAGTACGAGTTTAATATTTGAACTCTTGTCGTACTTTGATAAGTTTGACTCGTGATGGGATTTCTAGTAATAACCTATTCGACGTAAACGTTATAATAAATATAATATATATAATATAATATATATATATAATAAACGTTATTCTCCGCTTCTTTTAAATTCGGAATAAAACTCCGATCTCTTGTTGCCGATACTCAAGCATTCAAGTAAATATACAGGCACGCAATAAATACAAATTTTGTTTTTCTTTTAAGATATTATAATAATATTATTTTATAATGATATTATTATTATATTATTATATTATATTATAATGATATTATTATTATAATATATATAATAATAATCATTATAATTGCGAAGATAATGGCAATGCGGTTAACAATTACAACCGTTCCGCAGTTAATATTTATCCAACGGACTCGGTTATTGATCTTAGTCACTGTTGCTCAGTTTAAACAATTATTACTATCGTCTATGTATTTATTTACGTCCAGATTGCGGATCTTTATGCAAAATAAAAATTATCTTTATTAATTAACAACAAACACGAATTACACAGAATTGTTTGTGTTCCTTTAATATCTTCAGTGAGTTAAATAGTGAGTTGAATATAATACATACATGCCCTTAAATTTTTTTCATATTTTTGTTATCTTAAATTTCACCTTCCCAATTTTATCGTAAATGCATACGTATCGCTCAACTTTAGAATGAAGAAGAGTCTTCTAATGAAATTGATTGAAACTTCTGTTTCGCTACTCTCAGTTTTGCTAAGAAAATCGAGAGTTAATAGACCTTTTATCATCGACACTGCTTTCGTACGTCCGCTATAAGATAAAACCACCGTGCACGAATATATACTTATACTACGAAATGCTACAATATAGATTAATGATAGTTGATATAAAAAGAAAATTATTTTTCAAACCGATTATTTTTCAAACCGCAAAGTCTTCTAGATAACTCTGATAATAACCAGTATCATCACAATTGTAATTTCTAAAAATCAATTCTAATTGCCACTTTAAAAAGAATCATTACGCAATTTTCCCGACTCACGACAAAGATGTTTGCTAGGCGATCATAGCACCTAACGAAAATGATTTAGACCAGATCGAAGGACAAGTGTGCAACGACTGTTTGAAACCGGCGTCGTGTGTGGCCTGAATGGCAGTGCCGTCAGTCAAAATCTTTCCCCGGCGTGGCGTCTGTGCACCCTCTGCCAACGGATCCAGAGGTTTCCCGACCGTCTCGAGCGATGAGCTCGTGCAAATTTTTTCTCTTCCTCTCTCTCCCTCTCTCTCTCTCTCTCTCTCTCTCTCGCACTCTCTCTCTCTCCCTCTCGCTCTCTCTCTGTCTCTCTCTCTCTCCCTCTCTCCCTCTCGCTCTCTCTGTCTCTCTCTCTGTCTCTCTCCCTCTCGCTCTCTCTGTCTCTCTCGCTCTCTCTGTCTCTCTCGCTCTCTCTCTCTCTCCCTCTGTCTCTCGCTCTCCCTCTCGCTCTCTCTCTCTCTCTCCCTTTCTCTCTCACACACACACACGCGAGCGCGTGCTCTCTTTCTCCTCTCTCTCGCTCTCCCTCCCCTCAATTCTTCGCTTTTGTTTCTTTTTATTTCGATCCGGCATTGAGAAACCGTCGACGGCGAAAGAGTGAAGAGCGCGGCAACCAGAACGAATATCGTACCCGCCAACAACGGCGTATAGTCGTTCGAGTAGAGCGATCGCTCCAGAAATACATCCCGAGACCTGTATAGAAAAAGAGAAAGAGGAAAATCCGGGGGCCTACCGAGGAGGCGCCTGCAGATTGATCTCGTTTACACTTCACTACTGACTGAACCGGTGAAGAGAGCCGGAAAAAGGGGGTGCGCGAGTGCGCGACCAGGACGGAAAGGGGAGGGTGCGCGGGTGACGGCGTTTATCCCCCCTGTCGAACACACAGTGTATCGAGGCGGAGTTGCTATAGTTTGTACTTCAAACGAGAGCTGCTTCAATGAGAACTTCGTTGATCCCGATAACGGATCGATCCTGAAGCGTTATCGCTGATATTCTAAACCAGGGGTAGCAAACTCAAAAGTTAACTCGGGCCAAATAAACAATGCTTAACTTTAGGTGGGCCGCAAATAAAAATCAATGTTCATAGAAACAAATATTTTTATTTTGACTAGTACATTGTAATAAACATATATAAAGTTAAATTATTGTTTACGTCCTGATGCATAAACTCCGCTGTCCGGTTATGGCACTGCTTCCAATTTACTTACACGTTCTACAACATATTTACAGAAATTAGAATGAGCTCTACCCTTCTGCCAAAAATAATGCTCCTTTAAATAACTGTAATAAGTTGGAATTAATACATCAACATTCTTAGTTTCTTTTAATCTGTTTACTATTTTATGTTTCCATTTTTCCAATAAATGCATAAAATTCGTTGTCCAGTTATGGCACTGCTTCCAATTTACTTACACGTTCTACAACATATTTACAGAAATTAGAATGAGCTCTACCCTTCTGCCAAAAATAGAGTGAAACTGTATCGAACATTCCTAAATCGTGCATTTCGATCGTTCAGCCTGCGCAGGTCATTTATGATAATTTCACTTTGAGCACGTCTCATGCGAATCGGTACCAAGAACACACGATTCCACAAACTTTGCAATCTATTCACAGTGAGTTCTGGAAAACTCGACAAGCCAGAGAAACGGCAAGCTACGCCAGCTTTTATATTATCTATTGGATTGGCAACTAAGTAATTGCCGATTTGTTCAATGAAATAAAAAATTTTTTTTACTTGGAACGAAGTTTAATCTGTAATGTATTTTCCATTTTGTTCGATGACCTTTTGCCATCTCTCCGACAACTTGAAAATTCCACGCTCGTAGAAAGTCTGATCCTTTTCGGCCGAAAACTGAGTTAAGTGAGATTTTACAGCGTCGTCGTCGTTAAAAGTTTTACCACGAAGGGAGTTGTCCAGGGATCGAAATAAGTGGTGATCCGATGGCGCGAGATCAGAGCTATATGGTGGGTGTAACATCGATTCCCAACCAATATCCATCAATTTTTACCGAGTGGACAAAGACGTGTGCGGCCTGGCATTGTCCTGCTGGAAAATGACACCTTTACGATCGACCGATTCTGGTCGCTTTTCCTTGACCGCTGCATTCAATTTGTCCAGTTGCTAACATTCACGGATAATAAAATATAACATAATAATAATAATAATAATTTTACAATATAACATTTACGGATATCATAAAAATGGGAGTGAGAGACGTCTATAACTGAAATCGGCAATTACTTAGTTGCCAACCCAATATTAGCAGAAGTCTTTACGAATCACATTGTGTATTAATACCGAAACGTACAATAGCTCTCTATGTATCTCGAGTTTTGATTTTCCGTTTCGTTCAATCGAAGCGAGGCAGACAGAATAGCTATTTAACGTCACCGGAAATATTTATGCTCTACGTGGATCGAAAAGCTCCGACGAGTTCTTCCGATCGTTATAGATTCGCGTGGAACAATGTTCGAACGTCGCTAAGAAACCGAACGGTAGCTGGACAAGAAGCTGCAGAAAAACAAATTGGAATAAGCAGAGGCAGACAGAAATGAGAGAGAGAGAAAAAGACGGGGAGACGGCGTCGAGACACGAGTGAAGTGGTCACTTGAGGAAGAACCGCTCGAGAGAGCTGCCGGAGTTTCAGATTTATCGTACCTATACAAGGACCGATTTCGTATCGTCAGATATCATCTACTCCTCTTTGCTTTTTTTCTCGTTTCCCTGGGATCGCATCCGTGCGTGTGGTCCAAGTGAAATTACTGAAAAATTTATCAGTTCAAGGACGACCTACTTGAGCCAGCTACTCTGGGGCTCGACTCGAATCCCCTCGATATTCGCGTTGCGTTTCGGCATTTACGGAGATGCACTCGTGATGGATACTGAAATAGTTGATCGTTTGACTGCGGATCTTTACGCGAAGTAAAAATGTTGTTCATCCGTTTGCAAGAAACGGTAACTACGTAAACATTTAGTTGCGTTATTGAATGATTTTAATAAATTGCAAATAATATGATCAAGTGGTTGAATTTTTTCAGTAGAGAAATAGAATAAAATAAAAATAGGATAAAAATAGAATAAAAATAGAATAGAAAAATAGAATAAAAATAGAGAATAAAACTGTAGCACAGTAAATTCTCCCTAACTTTCCTTCAGCTTGTAAACAAAAATGGACAATTTGGGAAGATGAGATACGATTATTCGAGCCTTGCACCTCGTTTTTACAACTATTGGCAATCGGCAGCTATAAAAATGAGGCTCATCTTCCCAAATCGTCCGTTTCCGTTTACAAACTGAAGGAAAATCGGAGAGAACTTACTGTATCTCTCCTTAAAAAAAAAGACTAGGAGGAAACAGTCCTCCGTTTAACTTGAAATTCAGATATTTGTCCCTCGGGACTCGAAATGAACATCAATAGCCCCTAAATGAGCAATCCTTACCAGATAACAAAGAACAGAATCGTCGAATCTATCCGAAAGAAGTTAACCGAAGGGTGTTTCGTTCTGTTCCAGGGCTGAAAATGCAATGTTCAAATTCAAACTCGACCAGCTCCGGAGGCGGACTGATCGACCGGAAGCCATCCTACTTCAGCCATCCCGCGGGCTCGGTGTCCCTGAGCTCGTTAGGCTCCCTGGGATCGCTGAACCTCAGCAACATCGGCGGTCTGAGCATATCGAACATACCTGGCGCGGTCACCTCGAACATTCACCACGGCACGACGACACCTTCGTCCGCGATGTACTACGATCAAATCAAGTACAGCATGTGAACATTTGTGGAGCAGTGCTATCGAACGCAACGTACTAAAATGCTAGTGTCGCACCTTCGATGAACGGTGCGAAAGCAGATTCGTCGGCTACGAACTCGTATAAAACGTACAAGTGTTCCCGAGGAACAGCGGCGACGAAAAAATAACGTGTTTTTTTTCGCGAGATAAATCACGGTTTCTCGCTGCATGGCTAGCTAAATGAACCGATCTCTATTATACGAAAAGAAAGCGTGTATTATGTTTTAAGTTGTATAAAAGCGAACAGAGATGAGACGATATCTTTTATTTATATTTATAGCGAACTATGAATGTTGTTAACTTAAGATGCCGCGGATTAGATATTGTAGAATTAAAAAGTTCTTTGGTAATGAAACAACTAATGGCCCCTGGTTGCTTTAATAGCGTTCACATTATTCAACCTTTACTTAATCTCTACAGCGATCATTCGACTGCGGATCTTTATGCAAATTCTCATTAAAGTCTAAATAAAGGACTTTCTTACGTCCGATTAGAAGATTCCTTGTGGCTAATATCGAATTGTAATATAACTAATTGTCATTAGCGTGCATGTTCCATACGCATGTACCGTGAATGCGCAAAATGTCCGTGGTCTACTGATCATTCGCGAAGATCTTATTGCTTTCAAAGCTTCATAGATCTTTAGAGGAATAGCTCGATTTGAAATGCACAGAAAATTGGAAAATAACAACGTTTAGCCACTGTTGGTTGCTCTAAAGTGATGTTGCTAAAGTATTTTGTTCTGTTGTTTTCCTTCTACTTCGCACATCGGAATAAATTCAATTTTCTCTTTTTTAAATTGTGAATTTATTGTTCATTTATATCTAAAGATTTAATTATCCCATTTACCATAGAAGGTTAACCCACGAACGGCAGACTTTGTTGATAAAATATGATTCAGTATACTTACACGATCATTTATCTTTTTATTTATCAGTTTTTCTCAACACATTTTTTCCGGTATTTCTTCTAGATACGTTAGTTTTTCTATAGAATTTGTCGAAACTGAAGTTAGTTGTTAGAAAGTTCACATTCAAGTATCAATTTTTCTAGTATGGTTCCGAACGGAACCCGAGTCCACCGTTCGAATGTGAAAAAACCTCGAGGCAGAGTGCCTTCTTAATGACAAAAAGCCAGGTTCCAACAATTTTTTCAATGATGTCACCGCTTTAGAGCTCCGAGAATATCGAACATGGACACCGTCGGCCCTTTCAGACTTGTTTCTCGTGTGAAAAAAAAAGGAAATTAAAGAGTCCGAGGCTCCAGGATACTAGCAGTTCTAGATCCTCCGACAGGAGGTTGTAGAGAAGATAATACGGTCGTCAACGATGTTAGTGGGGCACAGGTTCCCTATTGGAACAGCTTGTTGCCGGGTGCCTGTCGTAAAAATCTACACGAAGGCTCCTCTAGGTCGGAACACTCTTATTTGAGTAATACATATGGAGTGCCTTCGGACCTTCTACCGATTCACGTGTTCAAATAATGTCCGCTCCCTTTCACAAAAACGTTCCTATGTGAATCACGTGTCGCACCTTCTCGCAGAAACGCCAACCTAATGATTAATCCTATCATGTCTTGAAACAATCGGCGACACTTCATTCGGATCGCATTATCGCGGTTTGTAGCTGGACAAGCTTCGAAGAGTCATCGGATCACTGCAAAATAAGATACGAAATTACAGGATTCAACGAAAGTACAAATTGACAGAGTTATGTTAAAAAGAATTGCATAATGAAATAAAAATAATCTTGAAGGAAGTAATAACCTTACGTTATCAGGGCTCGTGTAAGGTTGATACGAATTGATTGTTACAGCTACTGAAAAGTTCCCTAACAGGCGTTAGAATGCATTTTTATATATAATATATATATGTAATATAATATATATAAATATATTTATTTAAATATATATAATTATATAAAATATATATAATATATATATATAATATAATAATAATGATAATAATTAAGTATGATCATATTTTTATCAACAGTGCACGTTGCACATACGGCGCTTGCACTGTTAAACTGATCGCAAACTACGTTGCGCTACTCTCGAATAAGCGAACCTTTGTTCAACTTTATCGGGATTGCGGTATCTACCGATAATTCCTTTGAAACGATTCACGGAACCAAAAGAGGCAGGATTGCTTATGTAATAAATTAGGGCATGGTACGTGAGGTGGCAGATCGCATGCGGTGTCGACTTACACGAAGCAGATTCATCATCGACATTAATTTCGCGTTCGGATTAAGCGCACCGAGCACACGGCGAAACACATGACCTTATCCCATCCATTGCTATTCACCTCGATTTTAACTTTGACTTCATAAAACTCAAAGTTATCGAATAATAAATGGATAATTTGTTTATATTCGGATAATCTATCAATCTTGCTATGAACTCCCTTGACTTTGTAATTACCATCCCGTAAAGTTGAATTTGCAATGTTCCAATTTATACAATTTTTAGTTTAAAGTTGTCCACAATTGTTGAATGAGAAAATTACTGTACGATAACGCGCAGTAACGTAATTAGAAAAAAAGATGTTATTAGCACATCTAATCTAACTAAAAATTATAATATGTATCCGACCCGTGAACCGATTTTTGGCGAGTTTTATCGGGACCACGTGATCAAGATACTAAATTTGTACGAAAACAGCCACTTCTGACGGGAGTTGTCTGGAGTGCACGTAAGCCAGACGACGAATATGCACGAGGTGCAAGAGGAGTCACTCAATGACGTCGATGACAGGCTATCTGCTGTGCTTCGTCGAGCCTGTTTCTGCGATACTTTTTCAAGCTAGACCATCAGCTTGGCATCGGTCGGGCGATATGTACTACCATATAATTTTATCATTACGCAACGAACTAGCAAAATATTATTCGACAATATAAATATAAAGCTTAATTGATTCGCTTACAGCAGCTGCTGATTCGTTCTTCCACTCGAGGTACATGCGCGTTCAGAAAATCGCAACCATTGTCCTCGTTGTGTCCGTTAACTTGTTATACAGTTGACACCGCGACATCTGATTCGCTGTACGTCTTGAAATCCAAACAACGTTGAAGTTCTACTTCCAGTTACACCGCTAAGTCCTGAAAAACTACCGATTATTATGCTGTAATATAAGGTGGTTTCTAAACGACAAGTACATAGTTAAATATCGTTAAAATGTAAAAGTTACTTTCAGTCTATAATTATTCACATCACTTAATTAGACTTACTACATTACTGGAAGTATATAATTACAGCTTACTAACGCAAGTGCCGGAGTCTACAACAATTATCCCTAATTTCTACATAATATGTGCATTGATTATTATTATTATTACTTCTACACCCTAATTAGACTGATGAGAGTACTAATCTAGTCGAAATGTAAATGATATTATTTTTTTTAAATAAACCAAATGTCGAGAACAATTTTTGGGAAAGTTGTAATTGGTTGGAATAACAAATAAAATTTGTAGATTTGGTTTCTCCGCTTTTTCGTCTGACTGCGCCTATAACATAAAAAGGTATATATACTCATTTCTGCTCCTCTCTGTACGAGCGATATTTACGATTAAAACATTTAGAAAATTATTTAAACAAAAATTGATGCTTTCTTACTAACGTGAATTTTTTGAGCGGGCATCCAAAGAATTTGGAAGACTGTATTATTCCAAGACATTTTCGTATTAAAGCGTCCGCGAGAAAAGAGGAAACGACAGGGGGGAAGAAGAGAGAACACGTTCCAAAAGAAGGGTGAACAAGATATAGAGAAAGAGAGATACGGGAGGAAGGGGTTCGCTCTAAAATAATAAACTGCTCGACGCGTTGCCGGGACTAGACGTAGTCGGAACAAACGGTTCGCGCGATTTACACTGCGCAGACACGAAGATAAAAAGCCCGGTCTTAAATTACCGTTATGAAAAAGGAAGCGCGGTTGTTTAAAACAAATGAACTTTCATTACCTGTCTAATTACGATCTAGTTATGCATCGTTATGCGATGCAGCGTTCGTTATCGACCGAACATACATACACATACTTCAATAGGATCGTTCAGATGGGAATAGGATAACGCGATACCGATTTTCGGCATTATCGTGTTGCCGATCGCGAATCGGATACGTGTAACCGGATTTTTCTTTGTTAAGTACCACTTCTATAATATTCATCACTCCAACGCTAAACAACGGTTCTTGGGAATTATAGTATTACGATACTGATTTTCGGTATCCTTGGTTGGTCGATCGTCGGCGACTTGTTTCGTATTGCGATGATGCGGCTGAGGAAACATAGAAATAAATGAGAATTTCATACGAGAAGTGCCCAACGATAATAATTTATTATATATACCTTATTATGTATTTTTTCCATTTTAATCTGGGTTTTTATTCCGAAGATATTATTTTAAAATTTTCTATATAAAATGAATACGATGAATATTAATATCGTTAATATATTTTGCAACAATTTTTACTGTTTAATATTTAACTCGTTTAATTAATAAAAATAAATATATATTTAATATTTACATGTACATGAATGGCGTCACATTAAATCATTCTTCGCACTCATTGGATTCCGCTCGATGCGAATATTGATCGATACATCCGAATTATGTATTCATTTGTCACATTCATACACCGTCCAATCACGTTCATCTTATTACTATGTATGTACTGCATTTATATGTCTACACACTCATCCTACTTGATGTGTATCGGACGCTGCATCGCATATCGTGACGCACGCATCCTCGTCTGAAACAGCTCTAACGCTCATTCATCGATATAAATCAAATAAAATGGAACTTACATAGTATAACGTGTAATCAAATAACTTTGTATCCATTGTTCTACTTGATCAAATGCTGGATTGTCGAAGCAGTCGTTCAATATGACAAATATCTTGTATATTTATGTATATACCAGCGTTACTCGACGTATAATGGTACAGTGTGGTCATGGCCCTGTATTTTTAATTATAAAACTATTTAAATATAAAATTAATTACATTAAACAAATGTTTCTTACCAATTTAGTCCGATTACACGCTTTTCAAATTTACTTTGCATGGGACTGCTCGTTCTGCACAAGCACAGTATTAGCAACGTCCGAAAACTTTTACGGGGTTATTTTGAATTGTTATGACTTCTTTTCTATAATTAACGACTTGTTGGTTAATCCAATATTACAGAACATAATTGACAAACGGTTATTATAATAGTTGTAGAACGTTGATTCAGATAATAATGTATGAAGCAAACGTAATTAAATAAAATGCGATTTACTCGACCGGTAAAAAGTTGTGCTTCAAATGCCATCTACGTTACTCATAGTACAGTTACATCAAAAATTTTCTCGGTCTGAAACAATTACATTATATTATATGTTGCATACATACATCTTTGGAGAAGGATATGATTAAGGAATATTATATAGTAAATAACTTAAATTGCTGAACTACATTTTTTATATATAACCATTCATAACCATTTCTTAGAAAAAGTAATAAAAAACTGTTTATACCTCGTCGTTTGCTGCGCACGCGCGTTCACGCGTCATACGTACACCAACAGGTCTGATGTCTGATTGTGTCTGATCCTGATTGATCCTGATCAGTGCTGCGGCTACTTTGTGCAAAAATCTTAATACATATTAAATCAGTAATGGAGGCAATACTATCAAAGTTGCTTGTAGCTGATAATGCGACGATACAACAGGTATACGTGAAGAAATGACAATTAGTAATAGAAGCAAATTTTTCGATGTTCGAAACACGTGTTCGCCCCAGCTGATAACCTATTTTAAATATATGGATCATTATTTTACTATATCTTCATTACAGATCGTATCAGCTGATGCAATAATTTTCTTCTGTATCAGATTTATAAAATATACAAAATATTTTATTTTTTGCGACCATAACCTCACTCTAGACTAATATATTAGTATGCATGTCACGTAGTCTCTTGATTTAATAAGGACAAGCATCCGTTTCAGTAATTAATATAGAGTTCTTCAAGACCTGATGTATAATCAAAGATTTTCATCATTTTTTTTTTAGGGTACTGCAGAACTTAGAGAAGCTTTCAAGAAACCAGAGAGTACACCAGCATTGTGTCAGTTGATCGTATCATCACCAAGTGCTGAGGTTCATATCTTTATTATATATTATTTCTGTTATAAACCTTTTGTAATGAGAAACTTGTATACTCAGATACGACAATGTGCAGCTGTATTGCTTAGGAAACGTTATGGCAAAAAAGAACATTGGTTAAAATTACCTCAACCAATACGCAGGGATTTTAAAACAGTGATTTTACAGGTAAGGAGCTATTACTGTAAAACGAACCATTATTTTAATAATAAAATATCTTGTACTATGTTGTAGGCATTAGTTAATGAACCAGAGAAGTTTGTTAAAAATGCTATTGCACAGTTAATAGGTGTGGTTGTAAAACATGAATTACCTAAAAATGATTGGCCAGAGGTTTTACAGTTCACTCAACAATTAATTACTAGTGACAATTTAGCTGATAAAGAGGTATACAAACAATGAGGTGTACTTAAAACTATATACCACATTTTATTTCTGTACGATAAAAATTTTTTATAGTTAGGAACCTATACTTTGTCAATTATGACAGAGGTTGCACCTGAGGCGTATCAAACACATGCTGGATCAATTGCAGCTCTTCTGGGCCAAACATTGAACAGTTTACAAGATTTAGGAAACCCAGTTGCATATTATGTATTACGAATAATGCAAAACCTTGTTCCTTTAGTTGAAAATAATCGTATTGTGAGTCTCGTGCAGTTTAAAATTTAGCAAAATGAAAATTTAGTTGCTCTAACAAGGTATTATATGTAACAGATGGTGAATGCTTATCAACAAATGATGCCCCAAGTAATGGCCACAATTCAAGCTCTTACCTCTACACACGAAGACAAAGCTATTGAATGTTTTGAATTAATAGATGAACTATGTGAAAATGCAAATTCTGTAATAGCACCTCATATTAAACTCCTTGTCAGTATGTGCCTTGCTATTGCTGGTAACAAGTCATTAGATAATGCCCTTAGAGTTAAAGCAGTTATTGCTATTGGCTGGCTAGCAAGGACAAAGAAAAAAGCCATAATAAAACATAAACTTGTGGAGCCTATTGTAGGTGAGCTACTTTAACGAATATCATGCTTTTCTTGTTTTTATATGTAAGACAACGTTTAGCTATGACTGTTGTATTTTTCTTCAATTTTAGATATGTTGTTCAATCTTATGTCGACACGATCGGAAGACGATGAGGATGAGGTTTACTTTACTGATAACGAAGACAATACACCAGTAACTTGTGCTACTCAAGTTTTGGATTTACTTGCGCTTCATTTACCGCCGGAAAAATTAATTCCTCAATTGGTACATCTTATAGTACTTGTACTAATCTTTCCAATACAGGATTACTCCATCATTCTATTCTTTATTTTTATAGCTACGATACATTGAACCTAGTCTACAGGGAACTGATGTATATGCGAAGAAAGCATCATATTTAGCAATGGCTTTATTAGCAGAGGGATGCTCAGAATACATCCGCTCTAAATACCTTGAATCTTTCCTGCGTTGCACTTGTCAAGGAATTACCGATTCTGTTCCCGTTGTCCGTAATGCTGCTCTCTTTGCTCTCGGTCAGTTTTCTGAACATTTGCAGCCAGACATTTCTAAGTATTCCTCAGAGCTATTGCCTGTATTATTTGAATATCTCGGACAAATATGTGCTCATATTAAACAAGAGAAGAAAGCGCCACCATCTGTCGACCGCATGTTTTATGCGTTGGATATGTTTTGTGAAAATTTGAACGAAAGAATTTTACCGTATTTATCAACACTGATGGATAGACTTTTAGAAATTCTGAGCACCGATACTCCGGTTCACGTTAGAGAACTTTCACTGAGCGCTATCGGTTCAGCAGCCCTAGCCAGTAAAGAGCACATGTTGCCATACTTTGAAAGGGTCGTTTCCATTTTGAATAGTTATCTTTCAGAAAAACAAACAGAGGAAACCATGTGTCTTCAAATACCAGCAGTTGGTTCGTATGGTTAAAGGTACTCAAATTTTACGCAGTGTTTAATATTGTTAAGACTCATTAACCACTTTGCAGATACCCTCGGAGTTCTTGCGAGAACAATCGGTGACGAGAATTTTGCACCTCTGGCTGGTAGATCTCTCAATTTTGGAATTAGCCTTCTAAAAGAAACGCAAGATCCAGATTTAAGAAAATCCATCTACGGTTTATTTGCGTCGATTAGTACTGTAATGAAGAAAGAAATGGCATCCGCGTTGCCGGAAATTATTGAAAATATGATATTAAGTATACAGAGTTCGGAAGGCATAGTGGTATGTACATTTTTGAAAAAGGATACGAATGATGATAATCAGTTCATGGGAATATTGTTCTATTTTTAGCCTCACTATAAAGACGACGAGAGTTCAGCTCTTCCGGTTTACGAGGATCTTATTGAAAGTGAAAACGAAAGTGAGGAAGATATTGAACACACCGATAATGAAGACGATAACGATGATGTAGCAGGTTACAGTGTTGAAAATGCATACATCGATGAGAAGGAGGAAGCGATTTTAGCTTTGAAAGAAATTGCTGAAAATACGGCGTAAGACATTAGTTTAATTACTCTTTATTCTACTGGGTGAACAAAATAATTTGGTCATTTTGAATATTTTGCTTATTTTTGATAAAATGAAAAAGTGTCAAATGGAAACTTTATTTTTATTATATAATCGATGTTTTTTTTTAAATGGGTCTATATATTTTTATCATTATGACGTAATACCTATGTAATAAGTTATAATACTGTATCTTCGACGTAACCTTGAATACAGGAAATTTAGACATCGATGATCTTAAAATCGCTTAAAATCGCTTAAAATTCTAAGTGAAAACTTTTTGTTCATCATAAGATTTGTCCGTTCAAAACAAAAAATGTCTCTTTAATAGTCTTTTTCTCATTACAAAAACAAGTAAAATATTTGAAGTGATCAAGTTATTCTATTCATTCTGTATATGTTATATAATTTTATATTTGTCATTAATATTCTAGAGAAGCTTTCCTGCCATATCTCGAGACGTCTTTCGAGGAAACGTTCAAATTAATTAATTACCCTCAAGAAGATATTCGTAAAGCTGCCATTGACGGTCTATTACAATTTTGTATTAACTTCTCGAAAATTAATACCAACGAAGGAAAGGAAGCATTATTAAAAGCTCTCTCTGTGTATATACCAAAATTGTCAGAATTAATACGACTAGATGATGAACGAAGTGTTGCGATTAGTGGTTTGGATGCTTGCACCGAACTGTTAAAGGAAATAAAAGCAGATGTTTTTGCTGGACCGGGACACAAAGAAGCTATAATGAATTGTATTCTGGATGTTATGCTAGGTAAATCTATCATCTGCTCAAAGATTCAGTGATTGTTTACATATCTAAAAGTTGTATTGTTACAGGCAAAACACAGTGTCAGGATCAAGAGGACGTAGACGAAGATGAGACCGAAGCTGAACAAGATAAATTATTAGTTGAATGTGCGGGCGATGTATTGGTCAATTTAGGAAAAATAACCTCTCCGGAAGAGTTCTCGCTTTTCTTCCAAAGAGTGCAGCCAAAACTTTTAGAGAGACTGGTATGGTCCACTTCCGCTGAGTGAAAACAGCTTAATGTTGCATCTTAGTCGATCAATTAATTTTTCAGAAAAAGAATAAATCAGAAGCGCAGAGATCTTTCGCGGTGGGAACCATTGCCGAATGTTTCGTAGGATTGAAACACACTGCTCCAGTAAATCAACTCCTTCCTATACTATTAAGACTCGCCGACGATCCCAGCGACGAAGTTCGTAACAACGCGATTTATGGAATCGGCGAACTCGCGTTCCAAGCTAAAGATGCTGTTTTTCCGTATCCTTTTAACGTTCTGTCCCGAAAATTGTCTCAATTCAGTAAATCGATCTATCAAATAATTCAGTTATTATAATATTTCTTAGCAACAGCTTCATAGACATTATACCGATATTTTGTCAGTCCTCTCCAATGCGCTTGGCAAAGAAACTCACGCTGGTGCTCGTGATAATATTGTCGGCGCGATCGCGCGACTTATCATTACCAATTATTGGAATCTGCCTTTAGACCAAGTATTCCCAGTTTTTGTGAAGCAACTGCCGTTAAAGGAGGATTTCGAGGAGAACAAGGTAGTCTTTGGGAGCATATTGACGTTGTATCAAGCCGGCCATTCCATTTTGAAACCGCACATGCAAATGTTACTAAAGGTGGCGGTAAATGTATTATACGAGGAAAGCGCCACCGATGACGGTACGTTCCATTATACTTTCTATCGTATCGCTAGATGATAATTAGCATCCCCTAATGCCATTACGTTTTTCTATACAGAGGCGAAGAATTTAGTCCTAGAATTCATCAAATCAGCCCAACGAGACTTTCCGAATGAATGGAGTTCCATGTACGCCGAGCTCCCGATAGAAATCACGACAAAAGTTCAACAAACATTTTCCTAGGCTTTGTCGCGGCTTAAAATAACGATCGTTAATTGTTCCGAATTAGATGAGACATCCAGACTGATACGTGAAAATATTTCTTGTTGCGAAGATGTATCTCACTTTGTCTATTAAGTTATACGCAACGTACTGGGCTTTCCACGTCAGTTGAGCTAGATCGCAATCTCTTATATGTATATACATATATATTCTCTATTTAATATTGATCACGAATTCATAACATCAAATCTTCAATAAGTGCAATTAGTTAAATAAACAATGAAATGGAACGTAATACTTTGAATCTTTTAGTCGTAAACCGTAGGTAATAAGGTTTCTCGCTACAGAAGTATGCATTTCTTATATGTGTATAGAGATATATACATGTATATACACTGATTAAGCTGTTGATACATATTGAATTCTAGTCTACGATTGGTTTTTTCTTTTCCATTTTCTTTCCCCCATTTCCATTTTTGGAAGAACGCTTGAATACTCATTGTGTAATTAAATTGTTTGAACCAACGTAATTGGTTACGTTAAATTATTCGTAATAAATCACGTAGAACGATAATTTCTGTAATACTAATGATTGCACACGCCTTCACAATAAGGCTCGAAATATATCGTTATTTAAATGGCAGACAACCCAGTGGCCTGTCCCGTGTTTGTTTGTAATTAAAACTGCTCGGCGTATTATGGAGCTTCTTACGTATGCATTGAACATAAAATGTACTATTTGAAGAAATAAAAGTGTTGCACTATTATCCCTTTTATAAAACTGCTCGTGTATCTTTCTTATCTTCAAAATTGCATCACTAAAAATATCTACGCAAACAAAGTTGCACATAACTTTATCACGACAGAAGTGGATTAGGGTATCATCGAATAATGGTTATCGTCGTTCTGATTCGTCAGCGAAAAATACGAAAATATATTTGTTGTTGTTTAATTAATCTTTCATATGTACTTTAGGAGAACAATAACGTAATCGTGTATAATGATTTCTTTTTCCCGTCCGTTGACAAATACCGAGCCTTGTGCGACACTATCGATATATTATCTGGAAATGTAAGATAACTCATCGATCTCCATCGTGTTTTTGGAGATCCGTCGAATACCGATCGCCTTACCTAAACGTGTCCAATCTCGACGATGACCGACCATTACGCACGTCGGTATCGCAGGTTCATACAAAAATTAAAGAAATCATTTATACAAACAACGGTTCCTACTCGTGCGTACTCTTTTCTGTAAAAAAATAACGGAAGCCTACTATAAACAGTGCTCAAATGTTTCAATTTAACCGTGGAAAAAAAACGGAAAAATCATTTATACAAACAACGGTTCCTACTGGTGCGTACTCTTTTCTGTTAAAAAAACGGAAGCCTACTATAAACAGTGCTCAAATGTTTCAATATAACCGTGGAAAAAGTGACTAAAGATCTAGTAATCGATCCGTGTCGTTATATCAATTGTTTTCGACTGAACGAATCGAGCAGTAAAAATCGACACCGACGCGAGTGCAACAGTTTAGGAATCCATCGGATCCTTAATGCACACATGGTGCACCAAGGTGTTCGAAGATGACGTCACTCCGTGATCGGTCGCAGAAAACCCAGTACATGTCAGTGGTTACAAGTCCAAGGAACAAGGGTCCGACTGTGACATTCATGCCCGGTAACATGAGTTCGATCACGTGGACGGGTTTTACGGACGTCGCGCGTTTACGCAGTTATTACATACGCAAAAAACACGACGTTACGAAGTAAGTTTCAGAAGCGTGCGTGGACAGCGACGGAAGAAGGTTCGACGTGACGAACCGACGCGACTGAAACCGATGAAAAAACGAAAGGACGCCTCTATGCATTCGTGTTGGGGTTCAAATCAACTGACGATGTGTGCATGCCGCCGCGAAGCGTGCAACGCGTTCGGAGAAAGTGTTTCGTGCACGTACACCGCCGCGGTGGCTTCCACGTCCAGCAGATGATCCCGGCCGTTTTCGTGAACCGACGGCTAATGCATACCTGTGTCGATCGACGACCTTCCGATAACGAGACGACGGAAGTCATAAAGCGTCGCCGAGGTTCTTTTCGTGTCATTGAGCCGGGTGAGTTAGTCATCGACGATCCCGACACGTGTGTGTTTACCCACAGCTACACACCGCGTCCACGTACACGGTGTATCGAAATTCCATTACGTTGCTTTTTTCCGACCAGGCTGTATGCCATTTAAGAGCAACAGTATTCGCGATCGTTACCTCGACCGATCGACTTCGCCGCGACCATCATTTTCACGGCTGGAAACAGCAACGAGTTACACAATTGCGAATACTACTTACCGGTACAGCGGTGACGGACGCAGACGAGAATTATCGGGATCGATTGTTTCGATTTCAACGTTTCAGAATTTGAATCGTGCGGGAGCACAGAACCCTGAATCGATAGCCGCATCGATAGATCATTCGATCGAAACTACGTCAAAGAGCAGAGAGAGAGACACGAGCAATGAACTGAAGCATTCAAACCATGATATTCGGTATTTCAAAATGTTTGAATTTCCTTTGAACACGTGGCATTCTCATAGTTAATTTTTATAAGTTTACTTAGGAACAATTTTTTTAAAGTAGCAGTTCAGTCTCGGAACTTCCAGAGATTGTACGTTCTGCAACTTTAGAAAGATTTTTGAAGGAAGACCGTAGAGACGTTTGAATTTCGTAATTAGTAATTAATAATTTTAATAATTTATAATTTAGATAATAATAATAAAATAAATAATAATTCAAATAATTTAATAATTAATAATTTCGTAATCGTGCGGTGTTCCGTAGGAATCGATTAACGTTATCGGCCCGTCGAAGTGTATACACCATAGGCACGGGGGAACGTGCCTGGGACGATCGAACAGGTCTCGAAGGACCGGGCAGCGCCCAAATTTTCGGACACCCTGTACGTACAACGCATACCGTGTGCCTGATGCTGGCGCGCGTCCTTGGGATCTCCACCATGACTCGAATCGAAAAGGAGCCGTAGGTGTACGACCCATGTCCGTGGCTCGATTGTGTTACCTGTTGAGCTTACCATGCTTCATGGAGATATCGCTAGTGGAAAGTTTCGTCAGACGAAAGTGGTTTATTGCGCGCGACCATTCACCGCGGTTAAATCGCGCGATCCACCGTCCAATTGTCCGAGCAACGTGGCCGAATAGTGGAAACAGTATACATGCATACCATACCGTGCGCGCTATAGTGGACAGTTTTGGCGGAAAATACAAACCGGACGGATGGTGTCGTCTTTAACGTTTCTGGTGAGTGTTGTTTACCGCATTAAATGAATATATAATATTTTTCAACGTAGCGACAGCTAGTAACGGTTAAACAGGTTGGAAAAGTACACCGGTGTCCGAAAAGATAGTTTAAAATCGACACTTTTCTGTATGCGCGTCGAGTATGCTTTATACACCAGATAATGCTTACAATTATCACGTTCGATTAACCGATTTCTTTGAAGAATCTCTTCATAGTTTACAACAGATATTCATTAATCGATACAAAACGATCGAACGAGCCGAGAAAAAGTGTTTTCGGCATTAATGTCAGTGGAGTGTATTAATATACGCTGAATGTGATTTTTTGGGTGCTTCTCTTGTCACAGCAGTAGGCTCCGTTGAAACTTTTGGCGCCGTAATTTTTATAATAAATATAAAATATAATATATATAAATAATATAATAATATAATATAATATAATAAATAATTAAATATATCAATATTCCATATTGTTTAAACCTTTTCATTCTGCGGTTCGGTCGCAACTATGAATACGACATTAATATATAATAATTATATATGTATAATAATATAATATAATATAATATATAATATATATAATATAATAAATTTTTCAAGCGAACGTTCGCGAGTCAGATTTTTCACATTAAATATTCAGTTTCTCGTTTATAATCACTTTCTCAATCGAAGACAGTAATGCGAAATTAATGGTTCGCTCGCGTGGTCGGTTTAAATATAATTTGCAAGTCTCGCGTTATTATTGTTCCGTTATTACACCGTCTTGAGAATCGTTTTACAAATGCAACACTTCCGCCGGGTTTTCGCGTTTCGTCATTAAATTAACGATCGGTTCTCGGCTGACCCAGTCACGTTATTAAAAGTACGCAGAGGGATATTTTGCACGTAAATTACTCGCGCTACAGAACCGATTGGGCGCTCGAACCCATCGCTCGATCATTTCATTGTTAATCCAAGGAGGCGATTATCAGGGAACGTACGATGCTTCTGTCAAAATTTTCATCGAGGTAGACGTAATTAGCGGATCACGTTTCTATATATAATTATAAGTATTATATATTACTATATATAATAGTATTATAGTATTATAGTATATATATTATTAGTATTATTATAGTATTATATATTACTATATATAATAATATAATATACAATTTAAAGCAATTTTATTTTATTTACCGGTCAATTAATCGACTCTTACGCAAGGACGTCGCGAAATCATGCCAGCGCCCCTATGCTAAATCATTGTCATGTCGCTGCGAAATAGTGGGGGATGTGGTGGTGACCTTAAACCGATGAGATATCTTCCGTTCGAGTTCAACTCGTGAACTCCCATTTTTATTCTTTCCACACTTCTTCCCATTTTCAAACTCTTATGACATTTGTATGTCTGCAGAATTTGTATCGCGTACAAATAACAGCCTATATCAAAGTATTAAAGTATCATGCAAATATCTACAGGATGTAGATAAAAAATATGGAAAAATAAATTTTAAGATACACAATGAAAAATAAGAGAGCATACCGAGTCGTCGGTTTATACTCGTTAAAATGGTGCGGAAGGGTGAGCGTTGTAAGCGTTCGCGACACAGCTCGCATATGAAGCTGCAAATGCAATGTAATATATGATTAAGATTCGACGATTAAGAGACCGATCGACGACATCATAGTGGGAGGCCACTGCATTTTTATGTCACAGGCAAATCATTATTTCTGTCACGAGCATGGATAGATAGCCTGTATCATCGCGGTCGATTCGGTACGCACCGCGTCGATCGATTAGTATTTTCATCTCGAATTAATTCGGGTTTATATGAGTGTTTACCGAGCAATCTCACTTCGATAGACAAGAGACAATTCGTGGATCTGCAATGATTGACACGGTTACCCGTAAAACATCACTTTCACGCTTATTGGGAATACTAATATTATTAATAATAATAAATAATATAATAATATTAATATTATATATTATATTAATAATAATATATATATATATTATTATATATAATAATATATAATAGTATTATTATATTAATATAATAATAAATAATAATTATTAATAATAATAATAATAAAATATAATATTATTAATAATAATTAATATAATAATATTATAACGGAACACCTAGTACGAAACCAATTCATTTTCTACTGAACACCGCAAGTGACAACAAACATTCTATTACAATAATGAAACACATTCTTAAATTCTCTCTATTAACCCCTTAAAAGGAAATGACGAATCCCGCTCGCAAACATTTTCTATGCCAAACTCGAATCTGACATATAAATTTCTTTTAATTGTTAAAAAAAATTATGTTATTTACACATTCTCCTGCTTCTTTATTGTTTAAGATTGTGTCGTTATAGTCACAACGAATTATTAGAAAATAAACAGTATTAAAAAGGAATTGAAATGGTTCGTAAACCTTGTTCACAATAATTTCAATTATGTTCAGAATTTCTTTCTTCATTTCACTGTAACTCGAATAGGACATTTTTCTATTATTATTTCCTAATTCTGTTATTTAAAAATAGTAATATTTTTAGCGATAACTCTTTGCACAGAGTTGCACTAAATTAAATTGTTACTGACAAATTCCATTCCAATTGCATTAACATTGCACAATAACAACGAAACAGCTGTAAAACACAATCAGTGCAGTTGTGTAAGTTCTAACGAAGAAGAAGAAGAGGATCCTTTCGATCGGCATTTAAGTTCGAGAGCTATCGCCAAGAACTTAGGGTCACTGACCAAATCTCGGTCACGTGCGCCGTCACCGCAGAATTTGTCACGAAAATATCGTGTCTCACGTGGAGAGAAGCGTGTCGAGATTCCTATCAGCCGCTCGCCCCCTGTGTGACAAGACTTGAGTCACACAGTCAGCCGATCTAGATCTCAATGCCAAGAAACGAACAGTGAACGATCCGTGGATCAAGATCGAGCCACCAAGGATGAATCAGAATTCGGTACGGGCATTCTCGATGGAGCTTGACTCGCCCGACTCGTTTCAGCATAGAAAGAAATCATCGTCCGAGACCGGCGAACAGGTTTTCGGACGGTGATGCATCGCGAATCCGGCAGAGAAAGTCATCCGCCATAATGAGGGGGGTTCCGTTAAACCAGCTGTTGTCTACGTTTCCTCGAGCAATTTGTCGTCGTATGCACCATGCTTTTTTACCCGTTTAGTCACGACACCGCGAATCGATACGAAGAATTATAGGGAATTAGGAATTATAGAATTATAATATATTTATATATATATTGGGTTGTCCCCGGAAAGTTCGTGCCGATTATTCGGTAGGTAGCATGAGAGACCTAACTAAATATATCACAACTATTGAAAACAAATGACATGTGTACATATTCTAAAAGAGATAACTTCAGCCATATTTGGAAAAAAGCTTGGTTACGATTCGTTAATTTTTATCAGTTTTGTACGCCTTAGAATATGGTGGCAAATAAAGTGCATTACAGGCATTTAATGCTTTTCTTTNGTAGGTAGCGTGAGAGACCTGACTGAATATATCACAATTATTGAAAACAAATGACATGCGTACATATTCTAAAAGAGAAAACTTCAGCCATATTTGGAAAAAAGCTTGTGGTTACGATCCGTTAATTTTTATCAGTTTTGTACGCCTTAGAATATGGTGGCAAATAAAGTGCATTACAGGCATTTAATGCTTTTCTTTTTCCGAAAGGGCAGAAATGCCACACAAGCGGCAAATAAGATACGCGCTGTTTATGGCGAGGATGCTGTAGCCGAAAGAACTGTGCGGAAGTGGTTTCCTCGGTTTAAAGCTGGAAATTTCGACCTTGAAGACCAAGAACGCCCCAGGTAGGCCGTCCATCACAGACGAAGATATGATTAGAACAGAAATCGAGGATAAACCACGCTCAACATTACGTCAATTAGCAGGAGTGCTAAATAAATCAAAATCAACCATCCACGATCATACTGTGAAGCTTGACTCCAATATATAAATAAATGAGCTGCGTTTTAATTTTCCTAAAAAATCGGCACGAACTTTCCGGACACAATCCAATAATATAGAATTATAGAATTATCTCCGCAATATAAGAAGCCAATATTAATATAATATATATAATATATAATATAATTATATTAATATATTATATATTAATATATATTGTATAATATAATTATTATAATTATATATATAATATAGAATTATAGAATTATCTCCGCAATATAAGAAGCCAATTTCGCTTCACTGTCTTACTTCTGGCCTCTATCCGTCGGAATATCGCCTCAACGCAAGGACTATTGCACTTCGATACACTGTATCGTTACACTTGTTCTTGGCTCTCTTTATCTCCAGTTTTCAGAATTATGCACGCTGAGTCAGCCGATCTTATCAACTTCCGTTACATCAATATTATTATCTTTAAAACGAAATGGTTTCGACACGAAAATACATGTCCTCCGCTTGGACCAGCAGCGTTTAGGTTCCAGCTACCGCGGAGTCTCGCGTCGGATGGATGATTTAGCAACATCGGTGGAAAAGAAACGTTTCCGCTGTCAATTTACTACTGGCTGCGAATTAAGAAATAGAATAGATGATCGCTGGTTCAAGTTCGGCAGCTCGTCCATTCAATTCCGAGGAGATTGCCGACCTTCCAGATTAGCGCACTCAACGTGCCCGCCGATTAGGTCTCTCCAATTACATTACCGGATCCCCGAACTAATCATACTAACTAATCCTTATCTCTTTATCTGTTGCCGCAGCCACAGTTTCGCGAACGTGCCCACCCCACAACGTGATCCCAGCGGGAAAACTAAGAGCGCCTCGCTTATGCTTGCAGTGGTGATCTTCGAGCTTCGGCAGGCTGACCGGTCGTCGGTGCGAAGAGGAGATTCCGTTGGATCACGGATGGATCCTAGATCACTGCGGAGAACCTGAAGCGCAACAGGCGGTGGTTATCGCGATCTGGACGCCGGCCGCCGACGGTGAAAGCCCCGGAAAAGCGGCGCAATTTTCGCGGCCCCGAAGCTTGCTTAGGGTTTCGAGTGCAGCGCGGACGGCCGAAGGAAAAGGGGGACAGCGTGATCTAGAGTGGCCCATTTCCCTTATCACGATAAAGCGGTAGTGTGCCGCTACAGAGGCCGCACTGACGGAGCACGAAGCGTACGCGGCCGGCCGCTTCAGGGTGGTGACTCATTTCCACGTACGATCAGTCTACCCGTGGATCGTAGCAGCGATGTATCGAACGCCGTTTTCGTTTTCGTTTTCGTTCTCGTCCTTCGCCTCCTCCTCGTCCTGCACCCGGCTGATCCAGTGAGTCTTGTCGCCGCCGTTTCCGGATCCCATCCCCGTCGCCGCCTCGAGGAAACATGGACGTCGAGCTGGTCACCCGCGCGTCCTTGAACTCTCTGCAGGTCGTGGACGACGGACGAATCGTCTCGCCGAACAGCTTCGACGAGTGGACCTGGACCAGCTTAAGAGTGAGTCAACACGTCTGTCTTATTTTCTATTCGTTCGACCTGTTTAGTGGCTTTAGGGGGTGAGCCGAGTTTCTCCACGGTTGGAGCAGCCTTGTTGAGTAGAATTTAGAGGGAATTTCAAGTGTCTTCTTTTTTTTTAGATTTTGCTAGTTTTGAGAAGTTTTTGGAGGATTTGACCGTGTTGTCGATGATCCAGGGAGTAGAGCTAAAGGTGGAAGAGTTTCAATGAATGGATTTGGTCTCGGTCGAGAGTGAAATCTTGTTTTCTGCTGATTTCTGATTCTGATTGGTGTGAGAGACACCGCATGGTGTTATGCGTTTTTGAAGAAAATTAATAGATTCAACGCGAAACAATAAACAAACATTCGAGGAATTTAAAATAATTAAAGAGAGAAAGAAATGTGTTCACGCAGCTTCTGTGTTTGCAAATAATCTAGATAATTCTTATTCTGCACAATAATCCACGGTCTATTGGTTATTAAATATGTTATATGAGCCGTTTATTTTGAAAGTGGCATAAGTCACTTTGTTTTTAAGTCGATATATTTAAGGGTTTGCGTTTTAACACGTTTCAAAATATGGATGCTAACTTTCGAGAAGATTTATTTAGTATAAATAATTTCCTATAATAATAATAATATAATATTATATGATAATATATATAATATAATAAATAATATATTTAAAAAATCAACACTTTTCATTACGGTAAAGTGACTTATGCCACTTTCAAAATAAACGGCTCATACGGTTAGTGGAACTGGAACTATATCGGA